ACTCCAACCCTCCTCAAAATGACCCCCACAATTGCTCCAGGCCCAGATTGCTACCTGGCTAACCCCCTCGGCAGCCCCTGGCCATTACTGCCCGTCACTGCCACCAGCCACCACCACTCCTGGCATCTTCTCAGCCATCACCACCGTGACTGCCACATCAGCACTGGCCTCAGCTATCACACCACCCATAACTGCCACATCAGCGCTGGCATCGGCAACACCCGACATTCCTGGCCTGTGCCAAGACCCTCATCATGCATCATGATCACGCATCACCACTGACTCAACCTCCACACGCCATGCCCCGCTCCCGCTCCCCTCCTCATTGCCTAGCCACCGTGTGTCTCTGCATTCCCAATGCAAGACCTCTATGCTGTGTGACATGTCTCAACCCCCACTGCCACTCCGCACAATCTCTGGGTCTCACCCCAAGCCCTGGTGCCGCAACCTGTGACTGGAATCTGGGCCTGAGCCCCAGGGGCTACCTACTGCGCAGTATATAAGTCATAGAATAGTAAGTAGTACTCTAGTCTTGATATTACCGTAGCTCTTGTACTGTTTTATTGTGTTTGTCTCTGTCTCGTATTCTTGTGCGTTCTGGTCTCTTTATTTTCACTGTGCTTCATTTTTCATTGTACTTGTCTCATATCCACTCCGTTTGTCACTTCTATTCATCTCCTACTCTAAATATACTCTGCTTCACCTCGAGGCGCCGGCGGTGGTTGGTGGGCTCGGGAGGCTGAGGGTGCGCATAGGAGCCGACGACGCTTGCGATGCCGAGTCTCGAGCGAGATTGTTGTGCGGGGTAGGATCGGACTGCCACGATCAGGAGCGTTAGCGCCTCGGTCTCGCTCGTTTGCAACACGAAAGGACGTCCGGGTTCCCAGACCGATCCACGCCTCGAGGCGCCGTCGCGGGTAGGCCTCGTGCAGATAGGGCCGCGTGAACGCGAGAGGGCTTGGGCGCAGAGGGTGCGATTGGGGATCGTGTTTGCTTTGATCCGCACCCGCACCCGCACCCGCACCAGCCACGGCATCAAGTCGCTTCACAGGATCACGGACGTGCACAGGCAACGCCACGTACGGGAGGGTGGCCTAGGATGGGCCTCGATGCGCAGCCGGGGACGGGGGGGACGTACGTAAGTAGCACGAGGGAATGCCACGATTTCGATGCGTGGCGGCCTTGTGTCCGTGATGATGATGCCTTTGGGGGAGCGAATCCCGTTGTCGGAAAACCATTCTTCTTGGGGTGCACCTGCGGTAGTTGATGTGATGAGGGATTCTGACAAGTTCATGACACCGAGGATACATGGGCTTTTGGGGGCTAATGTGCATCGAGATGGGCATTGCATTCAATCACTCGCATAAATACATGACATGGTATCTACGACTCAGACGGGACTGAGTTTCCTGCAGACGAGATGAGCGCGCGATTAGCTGCGTCAGAGGGACGTACTTGTCGGCGCTGCACGCGTGGCATTCGGGGCTGTTCATAAAGAACATGAACGCGACAAAGGGGGGCACAAAGCTGAACGCTGCTGCGGGCATGAGGATGGCGGCGAGGACGGTGGACTGGGTGAGCCAGAGGTTGAGAGTGATGTGTACAAAGGAGGAGAGACAGCCGCCGAGGAAGCAGGCGATGCAGTGGCGGAGCATAAAGGACCAGCCGCGGGCGATGCCGAATGCGCGGAGGATGTATGTCTCGCCGTGGCCGTCGAGGAGGCGCTGGTTGAGGTCGTGGTCGGAGCGGTGGAAGAGCCTGCGGGGGTAGCCGTGGGAGCAGGAGACGTAGATGTGGCGGGCGGTGGTGGGGAGGGAGGCGACGGCGATGAGGAGGAGGATGGTGGAGAGGGTGGCGCCGAGGTTGAGGATGAGGCCCGAGTAGGCGAAGAAGCGGACGGCGGTGTCCGCGGGGCGGTCGGTGTCGGGGAGGCTGGCCGAGATGAGCTGGGCCTCGATGCCGGCGAGCAGGGCGGTCTGCGCGGGGTGAGCGGGGGGCGGGCGGGGGGCATGTGACTGACCACGATTGCGACGGCCTGGAGGCGCGGCATCCACGCGTCCATGACGCCCTTGGGGGTCTTGGGCAGTTCATCTGGGACAGCACGGTTGGTCAGGCTAGCGCAGGGCTTGGCAGCTTACAGTCGAGCGGAGTCAGGGCGCTGGTCATGATTGGAGGATAACACACAAACACGGCCACACACAGCTGCTTAAGTAGCCCCGTCGTCTCCTCTCCAGCACATCCGATGCGTCTCGCGTCGCTCATCACCCTCGGCTGTGCGGCCAATGCCCTCGGCCACCGCCGCAAGTCTCTCGGCTTTGGCCCCGCCCACCCCGGCCCCGTCTTCCGTGCGGGCCCTCGCACCAACGCCTTCCTCCCCAACGCAGACCCCCTGCTCGTCGCCGACCGCTTCGTCAAGGACATTCTCGGCACTAGACTCACAGAGTCCATGTCCTTCCGAATCCGCGACGACTCGTACACCGACTCCAACACCGGCGTCACCCACGTCTACGTCCGCCAGGTCGTCAACGGGCTCGAGGTCGCCAACGGCGACATGAACATTAACATCAAGGACGGCACCGTCCTGTCGTACGGGTCCTCGGTGAGTGTTTTGCCAGCCCCTCGACGCCAGCTCTCACGCCACACAGTTCTACGACGGCCACGTCCCAATGTACGTCGGCCACGAAGACCCGTCTCTAATGACCGACCCCCACCGCGACTATTGCGAGATTCTCTCCAGCCACCTCGACTCTCACAGGGTCGGCAGCCAAGAAACCCTCACCGACCATCATTCCCCCGAGCTCCACGACCTCTCCCACATCCACTACTCCAACTGCCGCCACCACGACCTCCCCGCCTCCCAGGCCGACATTGCCGACTTTCGCCATGCCCTCCTCCAATTCATGGTCGCCGCCACCCCCAACGACGACGTTGTCGAGGACATTCTCGCCAACTTTGACAAACACCTCAACGACATGCTCATCGAGGCGCCTACCGGCCACTTTGCGCCTACTTCTCCGTCCGCAAATGTCCTTGTCAGCAACGTCCCCGACACTGTCAACCCCGTCAAGGCCCGCCTCGCGTACATTCAGGTGCCCAGCAAGGGCACAAGGAAAACTTTGACTCTCTCGCCTCTCCTGCTGGCTGGCACGCCCTCCCCTACAGCCACGACCCGTCCTTCCAGGACGCGCACAAGCGAGGCGCCTGGCACAACACCACCACCACCTGGGGAAACAACGTGAGCCCGTCCAGACGTCCCACCGCCCAACTGACACTCTCCAGGTCTTTGCCCAAGAAAACTGGGAAGGCCGCAACGCGTACAAGGACAACTACCGCCCGGACGGCGGCAAGCACAAGGTCTTTGACTACCAATACAGCCCCAAGGAAACCGACTCGGACGCTGCGCTCGCCGAAGCGAAAAAGTACATCAACAACACCATCACGCAGCTCTTCTACACGACCAACATGGTGCACGACCTCTACTACCGCTACGGGTTCGACGAGGTCGCGGGCAATTTCCAGCAATACAATTTCGGGCGCGGCGGCGCAGAGCACGACGCGGTGATCGCGAACGCGCAGGACGGCTCGGGGTACAACAATGCGAACTTTATGACGCCGCCCGACGGGCAGAACGGGCGCATGCGCATGTACCTCTGGGACACGGCGCTGCCGTACCGCGACGGCGACCTCGAGGCCGGCATCGTCATCCACGAGCTCAGCCACGGGCTCAGCACGCGCCTCACGGGCGGCCCCGCCAACTCGGGGTGCCTCGGGTGGGGCGAGAGCGGCGGCATGGGCGAGGGCTGGGGCGACTTCCTCGCGACTACGATCCGCAGCACGAGGGTGTACCGCGACTATGCGATGGGCGCGTGGGCCGCGAACCAGGACCGCGGGATCCGGAATTACGTGTATTCGATGGTGCGCGGCGTCTCCCCCTGGCTTGTTGACTCAACGCTCACACCCCGCAGAACACGACGACGAACCCGTCGACGTACAAGACGCTCGACAAGCCCGGGTACTGGGGCGTGCACGCGATCGGCGAGGTGTGGGCCGAGATACTCTGGGTCGTCTCGCAGGGGCTCATCGCGAAACACGGGTTCACGGACGACCTCTTCCCGCCGCCGCCCGGCGCGGACGACAGCGCGTTCTATCGCGCCCCGACGGCGCCCGGCGCGCCGCGCGTGCCGAGGCACGGGAATTCGCTTAGTGTGCAGTGCGTGTCCTCTCTTCTTTTGCGTTCCCCGTTTCGCGTTCCCCCATTCGTTTCGTTTCGCGTTCCCCACCCGCTGACGCCCGCCGACACAGACTCGTGCTAAACGGAATGAAACTGCAACCGTGCCGGCCGTCCTTCTTCGACGCGCGCGACGCGATCATCGAGGCGGACGCGGTGCTGACGGGGGGCGAGAACCGGTGCGCGCTCTGGGCGGGCTTTGCGGCGCGCGGGCTCGGGCCCGACGCGCGCGTCGAGGGGCGCACGCCGTGGGGCGGCGGGGTCAGGTTTAATGTGAGTCTGCGCTGGCATTTGGGGCTGAGCGCTGATGCTGATGGTGTTTGATAGGGGTATGCGATGCCGGTGGAGTGTCGGGAGTGATGTGGTGTGGCGTGGGGTGAACTGGACCTGTTGGCGGGGTCAATGCGTCTGCGAACGGCCGGGCTCTGCCGCCCGTCTGCCTGCCCGCCCGCCTGGGGGTGGGGGCGGGGCGTGTACGATATGATCTGATATGATCTGATGCGATTTGATACGATATGGTGGTGTATATAGTTGTGTTTTACGTGTTGTAATATGTGTTTTTTGGTTCTGGGGTTTTGGATGATCGTCGGAACTCTCGTGCGCCTCGGAGGGGACGCGGGTCAGCGGGACTATGTACGTAGGTGTCACGTGTGTATGTATGTACATGTCGTGACAGACAGCGTTCCCGAAATACATTGCGCCGTCGGCCTTCAAAGTCTCGAGTGAGGGCGACGGAATTCGATCGAAAAAAAAACAATCTCTCTCTCTCTCTCTCTCTGCCTGGGAGTCGAACCCAGCTTTCGCGCGCGCGCGCGCGGACACAAAGACGAGTGAGATGACAGGCGCGTGTACTCGCCGATATACTAGCCTCTGAGAGATCGAGCGGTGTTTGTTCGGTGGTTGGGAAGATGGTGCACTAATGATGCGGTTGAGCTCAGGTCTGGCACATGACGGCCCGATTTCCGCGGGTTCAGCGCCGAACTCCATCTCCATTTGCAATTGCAATTGCAAATATGTATCGCGTGACTACGTATCGCGTGACTACGGGCGTCTCGGGCCTCGTTCCGGTCTCCGTCGGAGTCGGGGATGGGTTGGGGGCTGTCGTGTCTTTGCGGTTGAGGCGGCCAGGCGGCTTGAGGGCGGGGCGGGGAGGGGAGTCGCGTGGCGTGACGTGTGTGGGGAGCATAGTCGCGAGGTGTGTTACGGGACGATCTGGACGCGAATTGTATCTACTTTGGACTTTGCGTGCAGCGTGCAGCGTGCAGCGTGCACGCTCGTCCTCGGAGGGAGCGGTGTCGGTGAGACTACTTCGGCCCCGATTTCCGCGGCGCTCGGATTTCCGAGAAGCTGTCTCTGAGGAAGAGTGCCTTGCGACTTTGACTTTGA